TCTTCATGTTTATCTTTTCTAGCCAAGTCTAATATTTGGCATAATCTTGTTTCTTATGTCACTTTTCTCGCGTTTGAAACACTTATATTCCCTCTCAAAGACAGCTTTAGAACCTCTTACACCGACAGATTGACCAAAATTTTCTTTTGTCTTGAACCTTTTAAGAGTATTGAATTTAGTAGACCATCTTATAAGAGTATTGAATATAGTGGACCATCTTAATGATGTACTTCCTAACTCTTCATGTCCCATCCTTTGAAATAAAGTCTTTCTAGAAAAGTGTCAATGATGCCCTATACCTTAATGCTACAGAGCTCCTTTGTTTTAGTAATACCAGAAAATCCACTTAACATGTGTATAAGAATTGATCTCTTAACAACAAGTAGACAAAATTTATTAAATCCTCAAAAGCTATAACTTTGAATAATATGTTATACAGGCTTATTTATATTCATAAGATAGATCTATGTCTATATATATATCTTAATGGCAAACTGAATGTCACTTTTCTAATTCTTAAAGTGACTAATGACCAAGGTACAACTTTTTTCGTATATGACTTATGACCAAGGATGAGTGTCCATATTTCAATTGCTAGACATTTTCAGAAAGCATTGAGTTATATCCATCTTTGCAGTCTGCAATTATGCAAAGGGTAGATGGGTCGCTGACTGCAGGCCGCCTTTATATACTGTTGGATGCAAGTATATAACAAGAAATTGGGCATGCAGACTCACCAATCGAACAGATTTCTCTTATGAAGGTTATCGATGGCAGTCTTTAGATTGTAAAATGCCAGAGTTTGAGCCTTCAGATTTCTTGAAAAGGTAGATATATACTGATATTTGTTCTATTTCTTTGAATTTATTGTTGGGAATAATTGAGTTGTCTAAAAGGATAATTATGTAAAAAGGATGCAGGATAAAACAGTTGCTTTCATAGGAGATTCATTAAAGGGGCAGCAATTCCAATCCATGATGTGCATGCTCACTGGGGGGGAACACAGCCCTGACGTTGAAGATGTTGCAGACAAATATGGTTTCTCTAAATTGTTACGTAAAGGAGCTATTCATCAGCATTTCTGGGCTTACCGCTTTCGAAGTACCAATACCACCATTCTGCGTTCTTGGTCAGCAAGACTTTGTGACAGAGAGCCCATGAACCCCACCGATCCGAAGACCCGTTACGCCATGCACTTGGAACGTTCGCCAGCTTTCATTCGAGAAAACCTCGATCAAATTAATTTATTAGTTATCAACACAGCTCACCATTGGACCAAAACGAGGGTCGACATGGACAATGAGATGATGTATGTGAATGGGACGCCCGTCGAACACGGATTTCTTAAGAATGTTAAGAATGCCAAGATCTTTAAAGTGAAAACATTGTAAAATGGCTTGATTCCGAGTTGGCCTCACATCCGAACCTGCAAGTTTTCTTTACAACCACATCGCCCAGGCAGTTTTTCAAAGGGGAATGGAACACTGGGGGGAAATGTGATAACCTGATTCCAATGACAAGAGGGAACCAAGTCCTCGGAGATGAATCAAGCAATATGATCGTTGCAGCTGCTGTTCAGGGTACAAGGGTAAAGATTTTGGATATAACCGCTCTGTCTGATCTGAGAGATGAGGCTCACATTTCACATTATGGTAAGAAAGGCAATGACTGCTTGCATTGGTGCTAGCCTGGGGTTCCAGACGCCTGGAATGAACTCCTCAGCGCACAGGTCTAGAGAGTTTTTTTGATCAGTCAAGCCTGGAATCAAACTTGAAATATAAAATCTTTCAACAATGACAAGTGGACTCTCTCATTGAGTTCAATCTTCAGATTTTAAATTCAAAGTTTGTGGATGTCTCTTTTAAAATCACATATTTTATACAACAAAGTGTTAAAACAATAATCTCTTTAAAAGATTTCAATTTACACAATAAAAATATTTTCTTATATCATGAATCTCACTGAATCATTTCAACCAAATGTCAAAAGTTTTTCTTAAAGCTTCTTTCTAATTTAAAAGAGAAAAAATACATTTTTTTCATTATATGTTCAAATAGTTTTGAGCCAAACATTACCATCCAAAACTAAAGTTAGCATGTGAAGATCTATCATGATAAAAAACCATGCATGTATATAAAGAAAACGTGATGCATGTGCTAAATTTGGCATATCTTTTTCTTTTCTTAAAACTAAATAAAAAAATGAAGAAAAAGCAAAAGCAAGTGAATATATTCTATTTAGGATAAACGAAGATTGAGTTAATCTTCCGATATCTCAAATGTAAAATTTTGGGTAACATTATCTTATTTATACTATAACATTTTTACTTTTTTACTCTATAGTTTTAACTGCATTTATTCTAATGTAACTAAATTCATCGTATTACATTTAATACATTCCATTTAATTATACTATTTGAAGTGTAATCTCATAAAAAATTTTCAAGAGGAGAGAAGCCCACAAAATAAAAGCTTCTAATTAGAAGCTATCATTATCTTTCTAGTAAAGTTTGAATACCTTCATTCTCATGTAAAAAAAAGGATGCTACAAATAATAATAAAGGCCCTCAATTGAAGGAAATGAGCTTGTCAAGTCATGAAAAGATCACAAGATTATATCCATTGTAATTTTTTATTATATTTTTGTTAATTATTTAATTATAATTTTATAAAATTTATATTAATTTCATCATGAATTTTACAAAAAAAAAATAATGGTTGAATAATTATATAAAATATAATAAAATATTACTATGTAATCATCTGATGAATTTAATTTTGAATGAAAATTTTAAATTTGAATAATTAACACTTTGCAAAAAAAAAAAATTATTTTTTTATCATTGTTTTTTATACAATGATAAAATTAGTAATATGAAGAGAAAATTTGACACCAGAGAAGTAACATTACAAAATGTTTGGTAATAAAAAATTACATTACATTGGCAATACATTCCTATTGAGGGCAGGAATCAGATTCCTTTTGAAAATCAATGGAATGTACTTTCCCATTGCATGGGAACGTAACTAACTTTTCCCATTCTCTCTCTCCCTCTTCAATTTCTCCAATCTCTTTCTTCCACTAACCAATTGCTACTCAGCCCTTTTTTCTCTAGAACCCAAATTTCGATGCTTGATCTTTGTCGGACATCGTCAATTGTCGCCGGACACCACTGATCATCGTCGAATGCCATCAATAGCCCTAAATACTGTTGACCACTTCAAATGCTGTCGACCACCATCACCCGTCGTCAGACGCTATCAACTCCAGTCAAGATTGTTAACTAATTTAGTTACTATTTTAAGTTAACTTAATTAACTAATTTATTAGTTCATTAAAATAGTTAATTAACTAATTTAATTATAAATTAATTATTTTTAATTAATTTAAAATATGAGCTGAGTGGGCCATTTGGTTGTTTCCAGCTATAAAATCTATAGACCGAAACCGATAGAACTGTGATCGATTTTGGTTTGAACGGTTTCTCAGGTTGCTTGGTTGGTTATGTTAGAGATTTGGTTTAATCAATTTTGGTTTCTTTTGCATCTAAAACGGATTGATATACACCGTTAATAATAATCACATTATATTGTAAGATATCAAATATTATTGAAAGATAATACTTAAGGGACTGTTTTGACATACTTATCAAATAATGTAAAATGTCACATCAATTATGACATTAAGTATTGAAAAAATGGAATTAGAAATTTGTTAAAAAATAATTTATTGATCCCTATAGTTGAAATCAATGAAGAAATTACAACTCAGTGTGAGGTGGAAAACATCATCAAGATTTGATGATATACCTGAATATATAATCTGATAAATGTGAATGCTTTTCCTTGATGAAAGATATAAATACCTGTTATGATGGTGCCTCCAAATTCAATTAAATCACTATATATTTAAACATCAATCCTTTTCCTTTCCTTTCTTTGATGCGTTTGAAGAATAAAAATGGTTTACATGATTTTTATTCATTTTGACACATTAAAGGTGACATTTTGATATAGACTTGTCAATTTTCCAATTTGTCAATCGATATATTATCTCTTGATTACTTTTCTTCTTTAATTACCAGATAAGCTTATTTTAATATAATTTTCATATGTTTCTGAAACTTCCTTTCAACTTGTCAAACTTCTGGGGATGGAAATTTCAGTCTGAGATATGATTCTTCTTCCATTGTAAGAATTTGGCCATGAACTAATTGAACATTTTATATCTTAAAAAAAAAGTACTATAACTCTGCATTCTTCTGTTATAATTATAAATCTGGCAGGGATGATCCTTGTTTAAAGATAAAACTCAAATTAGTTTTAGATGGTAAACGTTGATGGCATTATTTTTATTTTTTTTTTGAAAATTAGTTGATGGCACTACATAATACATAATATATATATATATATATGTATATGGCCTCTTTAGCTTAAATAAGTCACATTCACTTAAATGTGGGTTCAGTTTACCTATTTTCATAATGAATAACATATGTGTTAAAGAAGTCAATCATGCATGACAGTAAAAATTATTGAATTATAAATAAAATGTAATTCAGTAATTGAATCATAGTCCAAATTTCTATGAAATTAAAATGATTCCTCCTATCTAACATTTGCTAATATCATAAATACAAAAACTTGCTCGATCCAGGGTACGTAAGCAGAAGCCAGCAAGAAGGCAATATTTCTAATCCTGTATCCCCTTTTTTGGTAGCAGAGGTGGTGTTCAGTTGTGCACAGTGGTACTGGTGTGTTCTTGTTTCTTATGAGTATGGAAGCCCATTGCGGGACTTTGGTGTCATGGTCTTGTACTGGATCATCCTTGGCCTTGCCAAATTTGTACATATTTCTAATCAAAGAAATGTAGACATATCATAAATACAAAAACCCTGTTGCTGTCACCAAATAAATTTGCGAGACAACATACGAAAGGAGAGGAGGCTTCACTAAGATATATGAATGGATATATAATTAAGATACAATATACGAAAAACCAAAGTAATAGCTTCGACTTAAAAGGAGAGGAGGCTTCACTAACTAGGTTCATTCTCTTTTTCTCCAGTATAAACAAAAAATATACTAGGCTTAATCTGTTCATTAAAAGAAAACTAGTTGCAGTTAGGAGAAAGGTTATTCGATCTTTCTCATAAGTTTGTCTTTTTTCTTGAATTCATCCAACTTTCTATCATGATTTATGCTGCACTGATGCATTTATGAGTTTCTTCTGCATCAGAAATGATTATGTCTTGTGTTTTACTTTCTTGGCTTCCTTATTTATTACAAACATGTTCTGGCAGATATTCTCTACATGCAGCTGGAGCCTGGAGCCCCTTTATAGAATCATATGATTCAGTGGCTGAACTTATATTTTATGTGATAGATGAAAAATCGCATACACCGAGGATTTTTGGGTCTGAGGTGTGTGAAGAATCTCTGTTATTAATTTGCAGCGCAGAAAATGGAGAAGAAAGGAGGAGATTCTTTTAGGTTTCCTGGAAAACTTCTCTTTCTTGCTGTTTTTGCTCTCGTTTTCATGACCTTATTGCTTCGGGACCGGGATAGGAATCCTTTTATTTCTACACATGAATCAGCCCAAAATCAGTATACCTCGCCCGCTCCAGCTCCAGGTTTGTTACCCAATTCATACTTATACTATTTTCTTTATACCGTGTCTACGTTTAAGTCAAAATAGATAGATAGCATCAGAAGGGAATAACATTAAAATGAACTGTGATTAAATGTAAGTTGCTGAATTTCTTTGCTCCTGTAACTTATGATGGTAGTTATATCTAGGATTATTGGTACATATTACAAGTTAAAAATCCTGTCTAACACGTAGTTGTGAGGAGAATCAAGCCTGATGCTCTGGGACGAGTCCTAAAAGGGCATGGAGACGAGGGTACATATGTATGTTGTTGGTGATCTGTGCTTAGCATAGATTGGGTTAATTCAGACTAGCAACAAGGGAAAAGAGGACATAGGTTAGGGATAAAAATGATACAGCTAACATTTAATGAAGAGGGGGTCTATAGGTGGAATTGATTGACCAGCTTTCTGCTCATTTCATTAAATTAATTGTCAGTGTGAAGGTATAGTTGAGATGAGCAGAACATAAACAGGTTGAATGTTTCTTGTACTACAAGAAGTTAGATTTTGGAAGGTTTGATATGATAAATTTGAACTGAAGATTTGGATACTTATGATGAGAGATGGCTGGCTGATGTTTTAATGATGAATGGGCTAGGATGAGCAAAACAACTACTCTAAAAAATAACATTAATAAATACATAAAAATCACTGTCAATTTCTCAAGGATTTGATGGATGAGCAGTGCTCAAGCGTTTCAATTAATGGACTTTCCATCCCTCTTAATTGTACAGAATAGAGTATTAATAAGATATTGACAGCTTTTTGATTTTTCACTCTCTCTTCCTCTAGCTAAAACAATCAAATAAATCATGGAAACTTTTTAATAATTCTTTTAGATCAAGGCTGGCAATCAGGCCTGAGATGGGCAGGTAATATGATGGTAGGCTTTATTGCTAATAGTCATGTTCAAAGAACAGCTTGTTTGCTTCAGGTCTAATTGGACTTCTGCAGGATTTTATGAAGTAATCAGCGCATATCTGTATTTCTTAGTTTTATGGTTTTCATTGTTGCCCCCAGCGTGCTTTCTTCTTGACCCGAATAACTCCTCCGTGTCTATGGAGCCTGAGATGAAAACTAATGAAGGAAATTCTCAATCAATGACGATAGAAGAACGGGAAGAGGCATCAGAGAATGTTGATAGCTCCGCAACCTCGTATCCTCCTGAGAAGGATGATGGTAATAAGAATGGAACATCCTCAGTCGAAACAAAAGGTACAACTTCTTTCTTATATGACTAATGACCAAGGATGAGTATTTATATGCACTCGAGCATTTGACTCATTAATTAATGTATAATTCTCTTATCTAAAAGAGTAAGTTCGAATCTCCTCTCTCCCAATTATAAAAAAAATAAAAAAATATTCATATTTCTATTGCTAGAGATTTTCATAGTCAAAGAGCGTTAAGTTATATCCCATCTTTGCAGTCTGCAATTATGCAAAGGGTAGATGGGTTGCTGACAGCAGGCCGCCTTTATATACTGTTGGATGCAAGTATATGCAAAGAAATTGGGCATGTAGACTCACCAATCGAACAGATTTCGCTTATGAAGGTTATCGATGGCAGCCGATAGATTGTAAAATGCCAGAGTTTGAGCCCTCTGATTTCTTGAGAAGGTAAATACTGATCATTTCTGTTCTATTCCTTTAACTTTATCATTGTGAATAATTGAGTCGTCTAAAAAGTTATTATATAACAGGATGCAGGACAAGACAGTTGCTTTCATAGGAGATTCATTAAGCAGGGAGCAATTCCAATCCATGATGTGCATGCTCACTCGGGGAGAAGAGAGCCCTGACGTTGAAGATGTTGCAGACAAATATGGTTTCCTTCAATTGATACGTAAAGGAGCTTATCATCACCATGGCTGGGCTTACCGTTTTCGCAGTACCAATACCACCATTCTGCATACTTGGTCAGCTAGACTTTGTGACCGGAATCCTATTAACGCCACCGATCCGAACACCCTTTACGCCATGCATTTGGACCGTCAGCCAGCTTTCATTCGAGAAAACCTCGATCAAATTAACGTATTAGTTATCAACACAGCTCACCATTGGAGCAAAACGATGGTTAACATGGACAAAGAGGTGATGTATGTGAACGGGACGCCCGTCCACGACAGATTTCTTAGGAATATTGAGAATGCCAAGATCTTCAAAGTGAACAACATTGTAAAATGGCTTGATTCCGAGTTGGCCTCGCGTCCCAACCTGCAAGTTTTCTTTAGAACCACATCGCCAAGGCACTTTTTTAAAGGGGAATGGAACACCGGGGGGAAGTGTGATAACCTGGTTCCAATGACAAGAGGGAGCGAAGTCCTTGCAGAAGAATCAAGCGATAAGATTGTTGCAGCCGCTGTTCAGGGTACAAGGGTAAAGATATTGGATATAACTGCTCTGTCTGATCTGAGAGATGAAGCTCACATTTCACATTTTGGTCATAAAGCCAATGACTGCTTGCATTGGTGCTTGCCTGGGGTTCCAGACACCTGGAATGAACTCCTTAGCGCACAGGTCTAGAGTGTTTTTCTATTGGGAAGCCTGGAATGGATTTTAAATATAAACTCCTCTCTTTGAATAACTGTTTCCGAGTTAAATTTTACGGATATATTTTTTAAAATCACATTATATCATTTACATATATATATATATAGTCCTTGTGTTTCGTGATTTATGAGCACTTAATTTTTTGAATCTTATTTCTTTTAATTTTTCTGTCAAATTAAAATTTAATTGAAATAATTAAAATCATTATTAAGCTTATTTTAATTAGCTTCTTGTGGCAATACCTTTTTCAAATATATTTCTTATGATTAATATATATTTATATATGTCATTTTATGAGACCATGATAATATATAAATATGATATATTATTCGTATATCACATATAACATCGATCCTTTATTATGAAGCTTCCATATATGACTTTATGTATACATATGGAAACTCCATTGATTCTTAATTAGGCTACACAAAAAAGATAATCTCATCTCACATTATGTAATAAATCTTGTCTCCCTACTCTCAAGATTCCAATGTAAAATTTCAAAATTTAACAATTAAGATATTAATTTAAAGATTTAAAATATAATTGATCTCAAGATTTAAACGTAAAATTTCAGATTTTCACAATTAAGATATTAATTTGAAAACTTAAATTATAATTTTTGTGGACGAAAAATCTAGCATGATCAGAAACATGCATGTACAAAGAAAACATGATGCATGTGTGAAATTTGGCATACCATTTTCTTTCCTTAAAATTATAAATAAATAAATAAATATAAAAAAAACAAAAGCAAATGAATATATTTCTGGAGGTAGATTTGAGTTAATCTCTGATTAACAGAACAAAAAAAAAAGATTGTAAATCTCACTCGGATTTGGCCATAACTTCTTTTTTTTTTTGCATCAAAAATAAAAAGTAGTGATTCAGTTATTTAACAGCAAAAGGAATTTAAGAAGAAGCAGGAGCAGGCGCAAATTGGGTGACGAAAACAAGTGGCGACCGACTCATTGGATAAATCAAAATCCTAGCTGGATTACGTAGGACAAATTTTCCCCACCCACAAACAATATTCCCGGCAATTCCCCACCCACACTTTCCTAAACTAACCTTTGTTTATTATTTTAAAATAATAATAATAATAATATCCCACATTGTTTCACAATTTTCCCTTTCTCTTCCCATTTTGATCATCTCCCAAATGATATACTTATTTCTCACAACTACAGTTTTTACTACTTTTTCTGCCTTGTTAACCCAATTTTCCATACAATCGAGGACAAGAGATTGCTGCTTCACTCAAATCTTAAGCCGAAGGTGGATTTTCTCTAACCTTTTAAGATTTTGATCTAATGTTTATTTCATCTCATTTATTGTTCTCTAATTTTTATGGGGGTTTTCTTTTTTTGGGGTATGGATGTAGTTGACTATTTTGGAGAGGAAAAAAGCGAGGGAGGAGGGCTGCTGTAGCTCTGGTAATAATTTTGTCTGAAATCCTTTTATGCCCGTTTTTATGATTCTTTCGATATTACTCTTACTTTCTCATCAAGAAAATCATCGAGAAAGTTTCATTTCTTTCTAAATTTGAAAAGAAAAAGGAAAACCAATGGGAAGAGCTATGTTTTGAGTTCAATTTTAGCAATCCATTTTATCCTTATAGGTGTGTTATTTCCATTACCCTGTGGTTCTTCTTCTCTGTTACTTTGAATTGTCTGTCTTTTTTTTGTTATATTGATTATTCATAATTATTGTTACTGTCTCAATTGCGAATTCCTGTAAATTGGTTTGTACATTTGTTACACGTCCTTTTAACTAAAATTGTTAACTTGATAATTCAGTGTTGACTTCTCTATTTATTAATTAAATTTACATGGCAAGTGTATAAACCCTCTTGCGAAGATTTTAAACTCACCCCCGGTGTATTGGATATAATCCACATAGTTTATAGCAAAAGTTTTCATCCTTATATCTACCCATTGTTTTCGGAATGGAATATAAGGATGGCAGTGAGTAGTTTTGGACTTTTGATAGTATAAAAGGAGATCAGGTTGAACTACAAGCCAAGTTGCCATGCTTACTCTTTATGGTGTATATTTGTTGCCATTTGCCTTTGCATTGTTGCTTATAAACTGTTTTTTAACTTTGCAGGGTAGTAAGAACGTCAAGTTTGTGGTCACCGTTACTCACAGTGCAAAACTTTGATTTGCTGGTAAGAACAAAATGATTTCTTAGTTTCTTTCAGGAGCTATTTTGATATTGTTTTTTTTTTCTATCTTGCCCACGTTAGCTGTAATAAAGTTTGTGGGATAGTTTGTTGCATACACTGTAGTATTTTTTTCCCTAGTTTGTAACCACACGAGCATTAATGCTTTTATCAGCAAAGAAAAATATAATGTGAAAAAGCAAGATGCTTGTCGGTCTGAATGGTTGCAGTCTCTTTGATCCAATAGGAAAAGACCGGTTTGCCTCTCTAAGAAAGGAAAGTAAATAGAAACTTCCAATTAGCAAATTTATTTATTTTGCAGATTTTAGTAAAAGTGAATTTGAAGAGCATAGAATTATACAGGAATGAATTTCTTTTTGCTTTTTTTCTTTTATAAAAGATGAATGCATTTCATAATTTCAAATTCAAGGTGTAAGAGTTGCTTTGCTTCTTCCATTATATCTCTTGCCATCCATCCAAAAAGGAAAAAAGTTAAGTGTCATTCTCTTATCTCTCATGTGATTGTTTGCTCTATTTTCGAAAGAACACATAGCCAAAAAGAAGGGTGGAATTAAGTCATACTTGTTAGTAAGGTTATTAATCTTAGTTATGCATGGTTAATCAGGAACTTCTCTTTCAAGAAGGTCTACCCATTAATGTCACAATCTCATGGTACTACCTTGTTTCATACAAAATTTAAGGGGATAGAAGACGAGCCATCTTCTATGTAACTTAGATATTTGCTTATTATGAAGTTATGAAGTGCAAGATTAACTTGGTGTTGATATCATTTGAAATCATCCATCTGTTTTCAAAAATTTGAGTATTCTTTGTTTGTACATTCAAAGGTTCGACTGTTTGATGGTTATGTCTATTTTTTTTCCTAAATAACAATTGTATGTGATGGGATATATGAGGAAAACAACTTCCCTTGTTGAGTTGAGTAAATTATTCATGAACTTTCACTAGGTAATTGGTAATTTTTATGCTGTCTACAGCTTTTTTGAGATAGAACAATGAGGTCTATGTTGATATTTTTCTGAACCTTCTATAACTTGCTGTCTCAAGGTCTAACTTTGGGCATATATCACTGCTTAATTTTTGCACTATGATTATGATATTTATAATATTGTGGAGAAGTAAAATAACAAATATATGAGGGCATATTTTTTTTTTAATTTAACAATTTGGCGTTGAATAGGATTATCATTAGAGATGAGTAGGTTGAAATTAAAGTGGTTGATGAGAATGGCAAATCCGTTTTTATGCATGAAGGAGATTTTGTTCATCATAAATTAAAACAACGAGCGTGCACATTGTACGTGGTCCAAAAATAGCAATCAGAAAAGGAACCGACTCATTTCTAACATGACTTGAAGGATTACTTTTGAGTTTTGATTAGTTGACATTAGGAAATTCAGCCTTCAGTCTTTTATTTTTATATTTTTCCTAGGTGATTTTTCTTTCAGTCAGATCATTTTCTTTATATTCTTGTTAGTGTTGGCTGGTATTGATTGGTTGAAATAGGAGTTTCTTTCTTATACAATTTTACCTGTTCTTGCCTGAGTTCTGGCCTTGGTATTCCTAATGTTATCAAATTGTCAGTGTCAATATGAAGTTAGATGAACGGATGGAACCTCAGAATATGTTTCCCTTTTTGCAGCTCCAATCTTGATTTGACACATTGAAACAGTCTTGAAATTATCAGAATACGCTCCGAATCTGTTATAGGAAGTCATCAAACGAATTAATTTCTTATCGGTTGCTATCAAATTCTGATGGATTTAGATGACTTCCGATCGGTTCTTGAAACTGCTGAGGTCGATGTTTGGACTTTTATCGACACAGCAATCCTGGTGGCTTCATTGGATTACGGGCCAGAACTGAAGCAACGAAGAGATGGAATTGTGGAGAGGCTTTATGCAGCGTCGATGGTTACTCGGTGTAGAAATTGCGATTTTGGTGAGAGACCAAGTGATTATGAAGTGAAAGCTGATTTGAAGAGAGAGTATAGCCATGAAGATAAAAGAGGAGGGGGATCACCTATTGCACCACAATCAGATAATGGGGATGATGAGTTGGATCCATACGGAGGCTTGTTTGATGATGAACAAAAGAAGATTCTTGAAATTAAGGAGCATCTTGAAGAACCTCATCAGGTCTTGGTTTAAGTTTTTGTTTTGAGACTGTGGTTGTTGATAACTTTTGGTTTGGTTTTGGGGATGTGATTTTGATTCTTGTGTGTTTTCCAGTCTGAAGATTCTTTGATTGATTTGCTTCAAAGTTTGGCAGACATGGACATAACATTCCAAGCTCTCAAGGTAATGGTTATGGACCAAATTTCTTTCTTCTCTTATATTTATTTTACTTCATGATAATACTCATGAAATAATTGTTTCCTTCAGGAGACTGATATTGGGAGGCATGTGAACAAATTGAGGAAGCATTCATCAAATGATGTTCGAAGATTGGTGAAGCAACTTGTCAGGTTTGAAAGACCAAAAACAATGAATTCTATGTATGAATGGTTTGCTGTGCTTAATAGTTTACTCAATAATTTACTTGTGGACAAGATGTGTGAATGTTGAAAGAGAGCAGTTGAAAGCAAAGTTATGATTTTGTTGTTTGTTATCCAGGAAATGGAAAGAGATTGTTGATGAATGGGTGAGGTTGAATCAACCTGGAGAACTGGAATCCTCTGCACTTATGGGTAAACTTATCATCTAATTTTTAATGTAAAGAATTTCCCTTTTCCTTTCTGTGAGAAAATTTTAAATCTGAAATGAAGATGAGTTGAGCTTAAGGTGCTGTTTGATAAACTTAAAAAACTCAATACTGAAAATTATGTGCTGAATGTTCAATTCCTCGTAAAACCTGTGTGGTTTATTTGTTAAGATTAAATAAAGACTGAATTTGATTTTCATTTTTGGGAAAAAGAGATTTATGATTTTGTGGAAACTATAATTCGTTTAGGAGTTTGATAAACTGGCGTAGAAGAAATTTTAAGTAATACATAGTAACATAGAGGATATGGGGTCAACCATAAAATGTTTTACAATAGTGCTAACTAAATGTATTGAGTAGGTTCTAGCATTTTCAATAGTGTTTCATTGAAAATAATCTATCGACTCTCAAATTGAGTAAACAAATGCTTTAATAATTTTCAATGTTTTATCTAACTGCGCTTAAGTTATAATCACAATTAATAATATTTGACAGTTGATGGAGACTCACCCCAACAAAAACCACCTCAAAATGGTTACCACCAGGTGAAATAAATCCTTTTTCAGTTGATTGCTTCTTTCCTATGAAAGTTGTTGAGGATTCTATATATGATTTGTTTCTAAGATTTGGTTCTTTAATAGGTTCCTGACTTTGCATACTCTCCTAATCCACACAGTGAGTATAAAATCTAATTTATAGTTTCTTCCTTTCTTTTATGCATTTAATTGATTAGCTTTGTTTCCTATTGACTTTTGGGATGAGAATTCACAGATGGGAGTTCTGGCTCAGACAAGAATAATTCAGAGCCAGAAGGGAAGCCAAAGCCGATTCCACCTCGAAATGAGCCTCCACCTAAACCTACTTACTCAGCCCCTGTTCTACAAAATGTATGGTGTCTCTACATTCCAAATTATAACTAGTTGTGCATGTAGCATGTGTCTTTGTGTGTGCATGCTTTATTTTTTATTTGTTTCCAAGAAACTGGGGTTTTAGCATATTCCTATGATGTCTAAGTGTATGATTCTCAGGAAGTGTGAAGCCATACTTTACCAATGAGTGAATGGTTGTGTTAGCTGTTACAGGTTTTGGCATAAAAACTTCACCAAATTTATTTCCTGATTGGGGATTTTGACAGAGACGAAGAGAACAAAAGGAAAGCACCTTTGACTCGGAAAGACTGGCTTCAGCAAGAAAAAGGCTTCAAGAAAATTACAAAGAAGCTGAAAATGGTTTGATTTTTACTTTTGTTCCACTTACCATATTGTGCCCATTTGTCTTGATACTAATTGTTTTTGACCTGGCATTTTGTGTGCTTTTTGAAGCCAAAAGGCAAAGAACAATTCAAGTGATGGACATTCACGAGCTACCTAAACCTAAGAATGCCTTCTTTGGAAAGAACAAAGGTGGTAGTTCTCAAGGGAGGCATTGGTGATTGGTGAATGAATTTGTTAGAAAGACATCACTCCATCCTGTATGCCAAAGGCTTCTGGTGTCGTAAAGACGCACAAAACTCATTTAGGCATGCCAATGCCTTCTTAGGGTTTGCTGGACGACCTGAAGCTGGCTTATCCTTTTATACTAAGTTTATTGAGAGAAAAGATATTCTTTTTTCTATTTTTCTTTTCAATTAATAAGTAAATACCAGGGAATAACTCTTTTTTTTTTGGATATACATAGTCTTCAGCTCTTTTTTTTTCTCCAGGGTATTTGGCAGCGCATAAACCTTTGTATACAAAATAAGATATGTAAAATCCTTTTCCTTTTGCTTTTGGGGGAGGGTGGATTGGGCAGGTTCTGGGCTGTTGTTAAGTTACTTTTCGGTTTTTGTTTATATGTATCTTTTTGACCGTATGTCTTGGTTGCCTAAGTAGCTTTTCTTTACTGTATTATTATTATTATTATTGATTAATACCTTTTGTTTTCTTCATGTGGAGCTGCACTGGGCTTTAGGTATCTGGTTCTCTTCTAACACAATAAGAGGTTGCCATGGATATTGCAATTTAGGTTGCTTTGAGTTTTATGTCACTTAAGATTCAAGTCTTTTTGAATTTTGGATTGCTTGAAATTTGAGTCATTTGTATTCAAATTGTTAATTTTTAAAATTAAATCCGAGGAGTTGAAGCAACTTATTCGGAATCAAGTTAGATTTTTTTATCGATCTTAATTGCTTTATTAAGTTACTCAAAATCAATTATTGTCAATTTATGATATACATTTGAATTGTTGTTTGTAAAGTCAATTTATTTATTCTAGTTCTTTATTTTATCATTTATTAAGAATGAAAAATAAAGAAAGAAAAATGGAAATAAAACTTTTTATATACAGTGTGTACTTGTAGAAAATGGGTTTAATTATAATAACATGAAGAATTTGTTTTCTTACTCTTTCTTTACCCACAACAAGCATCTTATAATGGATCAAAGTTATAGAAAGTTAGAAATACAATTGTAATAGTTAGGAAAAAGGAGATTTTATAGTTTTATTATTCAAAGGCAACTGCCAGCAGAACACCTATGAATCCATTTTCACCATGATAGGCAATCTGAAGAGACTTGTTTTAACCCAAACAAAGCTGTCCAAGCTTTCTGCACCTACCCATCAACCCAAATCCCATGTCCACACTCGCCTTAAACCACCCAAAGCAAACCAGACCTTGAAAAGATGCCTCGACTCCAATTGCAACACCAAAGCCATCCTTCTGTTTAGAGAATTAATAAAACACGGCCCTTCTTCTATTGATAGCTTCTCTTTCGTATTTGTCTTAAAAGCTTGCACCAAAAAGCCTTTCACACTCGAAGGCAAACAATTACATGCCCAACTCATAAAACTTGGTTTTCACTCCATTATTCACCTCCAAACACTGCTAATTCGCTTCTACTCGGCGTCAGGGAACCTTCTTGATGCACACTACATGTTTGATGAAATACCCACCAAGAACATTGTTTCCTGGACCGCCTTGATTTCGGCTTATGTTGCCAACCAGAAACCCCAAAATGCTGTAGAGCTATTCAGGAAGATGCAAAAGCTCAATGTGGAACCTGACCAAGTGACCGTAACGGTTGCTCTCAGTGCCTGTGCTGATCTTGGGGCACTAGAAATGGGAGAATGGATTCATGCATACGTTGGGCGAAAGCCGGAGCTCAAGGCAGACTTGAGCCTTAATAATGCTCTCATAAACATGTATGCAAAGTGTGGTGAGATAAAAACTGCAAGGGAATTGTTTGATAGCTTAGGAGAAAAGGATGTCACAACGTGGACTTCCATGATCGTTGGACATGCATTGCATGGACAAGCGAATGAAGCTCTTCAGCTTTTTGGAAAAATGGAAGAAATAAAGCAAAAGAATGGCAAGAGTCGGGACGAGGGTAATCGGGAAAGTTCAATAATTCTTCCCAATGATGTTACTTTTATCGGGGTTTTGATGGCTTGTAGCCATGGAGGAATGGTCGAGGAAGGGAAGAAATATTATCAAAGTATGAGTGAAGATTATGGTTTGAAGCCTAGAGATGTTCATTTTGGTTGCATGGTTGATATCTTTTGCCGAGCTGGGCTGCTAAAAGAAGCTTATGAGTTCATTTTGGGGATGCCAGGTCAGGCTAATGCGGTGATCTGGAGGACATTGCTAGGAGCTTGTAATCTCCATGGAGAAATTGAGCTTGGCGAAGAAGTTAGGTGCCGGCTGCTGGAGTTGGAGCCAGGACATGTTGGGGACAGTGTTGCTATGTCCAATTTCTATGCTGCCAAAGGGATGTGGGATAAGAAAGTGACAGTGAGAGATCAGATAAAGCAGAGAAGGGCACCTGGTTGTAGTTCAATTGAGGTGGCTTGTGAGATCAGTGAGTTTGTCTCTGCAGATGATGATCATCCTTTAGAGGCTGAGATATGCGAAGCCCTCAAATATTTGACTGTAAGTATTAAAGCATATGGTTACTCTCCTGAAATTTCAAGCCTGGCAGAGTACTGATCTAGAAATGCTTCCAATTTGGGGCACAAGAAGCCTAAGGTGGCTTATTCTTTTATGGTGGAATCATGAGATATTGAGCAAACCAAGTGCAATTATTTAGCTTAAAGATTTATTTATTATATATATATATTTTTGATTATATAGTTGGATACTTAACAATTGCATTAATATTTATTTGTTTTTGGTCAATAGCATTAAGTTTGCTCAGCAATCATCCACTGTTTTTGAGTAATATATATCTTATCGGAAACAGAAGAAGTTTTGGATATCATATGTTACAATAATTACTCAAAACCAGCACATGACAAATCAAAGAAAATACAAAAATTAGAGTAAATAACCACAAGTGACCACTGAAGTTTACAATAATTTTTACTTTAATCATATGTACTTTTTAAAAATTATATTTTAATCACCAATATTAATTGTTTGTTATTAACCCTTAATCATTCTTCATTAGGCTTTCTTTGCTAGTTTATGTGGCTACAAATAAAGATAATAGTAAAATTATTAAATCATATTTTAGGGGCTTAAACATACTTGGCAGAAACATAAAATTGTTTTGAAAAATATTTTTGCTGAAAAGAAAAGAGAAAATCGTGTCATGGCTGAAGAATATATTTACTGAAAAATTAAAATTATTTTTTCAATAATTTTCAGTAAATTTATTTTCCTTTTTTTTTATTTATTCAATTTTCTCCATGTTTATTCTGTTTTAACTTTCAACATGAGCCCTACGAAAAACACAGAGTTTTTTATTTTATTTTATTTACTGATAAAAATTTTTTAAAAAATATTTAAATTGTTTTTTATTTTATTCAATAGAGTTCTAATAATTTTAATTTAAATTATTTTTTTTTACTAACCTTTAGTCAATTGATTAAATATGTTGTAATCAAAATATTATTATCATTTTTTATCATGTAATATTAATATAATGATATCTTATATTGACCACAACCTGATATAATGATATACAATAATTTTAATTTTTACATACACCTTGCTTTATCATCGCAATATAAAAAATTTATTTGATTTAAAATGAAAGTTTAAAAATTTTATCCAATGTAATAAAAAATAAAAATTTAATTTTAAATTTTTTAAAATTTTTTAAGAATTTTTAAAGCATTATACATTTTTTATTTTTTATTTTATTTTTTCCCTGTCGTTGACTGTACTTACATTGGAAGGCAATAAAATTAAGTCGATGACAACTGAGGATTCAAAAATTTAAAATTTCTCCTCGCTTTTCCTGCATTTTCCTTGATTGATAAACAAAACCAAACCTTTTTGAGACCTCCCTGAGCTCTCTGGTCTTATATTCTTGCCGACATGCCAACGGTGCTTGAAGAATTTGAGCCCATATTCGGCGAACCCAAGGTCGAATGGACTGGTTCATCTTCGGGTTCGGGTCAGTCAAGTGGGTTCTTGTTCTACGTTCATTCTCTGGACTCATCTCATCTAAGGATTTACGTCTCCGATTTCCGCGACACCACTTGGGAGTCCGTACGCTCCGTTTTGCAGCTTGAAGACATGGTCTTATTTCTTCTTCTTCTTCTTCTTCTTTTTCACTTGGTTTGCTTTAATGGGTTATTATCATTGTTGTTGTTGTTTTGTTAATAAAGGGTTAATGTGCAGAGGGACAGTGTTGGAATTGGGGGCTCTTGGTCTGACTTCATTCACTATCTGCTAGCCTCCATTAAGTCTGAAGATGTAAAGCTTCTTTTGGAAGCCATGCCCAACTCAAGTGGTAACCACTCCTAATATTCTTTTTTACTATCTGCAAGAATGTAATTTTAATCTTAGCTTTGGTAGAAGTAAAATATGAGTTTCTAATGTCCAAAATAACAATTTTAAATTAAGGATAAACACATAATTTGCCGCCATATTTTGGCTTAATGTTGAATTTTGCTTCTGTTTGTCAATTGTGTTGAATTCTTCCACCATTCCTTTATTTGATTACTTTTTGGACAAAAATTAACCATGAAAGGATATTCCATGAAATATCCATTTACTCACGTCTAAACAAGTTTTGAAGAAACAAATATTATGATGTGGACTTCTTCCAAAGTAGACAAAAATACATAGTGTGACACATCATTCTCTAAATTATTTTATATTGGCAAAGTCATATTTTTATTTCAATTTTTTTAGTAACGGTTCATCAAAAATATCTAAGAGAAGGTCACATGACCACATGTGCACTATTCTGTTAACTTTTGTCTAGAATTCAATGAAAATATGGGGGCTAAGTTTAATGCAATTGAAGTACCGTGTAAAATTCAACATTGAGTCACACTATGGTGACAAATTTGGTAATTATCCCTTTAAATAATTTTCATATATTGAAACTCTAGTTGAACTAAATAGGGTCTTAGGCTTTGCTTGCAAAGGAGGTGGGAAATTTAGACTTAGAGGAGTTAAGTATTCTTTTTTAATTTGTACTTTGTGAATGTATCACCTTTTGAATGGAAACCCTTCAAATTTAAAATTATAGTGGAAACATTATTCAATTGTATTTATATTTGTTCTTTCCGTGCTTCAGATACCAAATCTGCAAAGTTAGTTGCTCAGAAATCAAAAGGAATGCCTCGAATTTCCTTTTCTCTCACAAAACTCACTGGTTCTGCTGCTACTGATGCCATGGCTAATCTTTCACTAGAACTTTTTAAAGCATATAAAGGCTTGCAATCTTTATTTATGCAAGGTCCTCTTCTCTTTGCTCACTCATAAAATTGCTTCTCATTTTATTACTTGTATAAGCAAATTTATAGCATTTCTTTATGTTGTTGTCTTGAATCTTAATAATCATATGCTGTTTGTTATAATTTGGAGGTGTATTACGGATTTAAATGTTGCTTCTTTGCTAATACCATTAAAAAGAAAGAACTACTCTAGCATTGACTCTTAAGAACTGACTGTAATTGTTCTAGTTAGAGAAAAAGAATAATCATTGGACATTTAATTTACATAGCTTCTGTCATTAGTTATATTAAAGGTTTTGGCTAGGTGGTGAATTGATTTTTGTAACAGAAGGTGCTGTCTTTTCTTGTTTAGACTTTGGCTCTGGTGACATTGCTCAAAACGTTATTGTGGAAGAGTTTCAGATTTGGTGCTGCAGATTCATATCCACATCTGCTCTGCAAGCTTCTTGCATTGTCTGGGTTTTTAGGGGGCTATTAGTCAGGTTGATGTTGTAGGCAGGAGTTGTCGCACTTTAGAATGTAGGAAGATGCTTGGTGCTAGAAAAAGTGCTTTTTTCCCCTCAAAATCCATTATTATGGCTACCAAGTAGAATATGCTGATAATTGTAAGTTGCCAGGATGATCATTATGGCACTGTTTTAAATGCCACCATGTGAAGAAACGTTATCTGTAGGATATCTTCCCGATGGAGACTTTTTTAGCAAAATTGCATTTTTGTATTTGCAAATTTCATATATACAGCCACATATTTCTTCACATTGTGTCTATTATAGATGAAGAAAGGCATTTTTACATTTGGCCATTTGAAGAAATGCTTGTTGAGTAGGCTTTTATATCATGCAATGAACCAATAGACTTCTAATAACAAGGAGCAAATAAATTTCCTAGCAAGAACCAGTTTAAAGTGAAAATTGAAAAAGAAAATGAGCACTTTAGTTGCTAGCATAAACTCTTAGCTTTATTGTTTCAAATTAGCAAGTTTTCTTCTTCTTATTACCTTTTCATTTTGATTGTAAGCTTACTTGGGTTATAACATGCTAACAAGAGTTCATAATATAAACTCTTTGCTTTATTGCTTTCAAATATAGCAAGTTTTTTATGTATTATAGTTTTCTTCTTTTTGATTGTACAGTTTAGTTGGGTTATAACATGCTAACAAGTTTCCATGCAATATTAAAGCTTTTGTCATTAGGATTCTTCCATGGTGACTAAACCTTGTTAAAATCATGATATTTTTGAAGATTTTCTCACTTGAAAAGATTTTTAAACATAGTCTTCTTTGATCTATCTTGATTCAGTTTTGCATAGTGGTGGTATCATAACCTTATGTGAAGTTACTTAGCCTATTGTTATTGGATTTTTATTTGGTATAGATCATCGTTTTTAAACTTGGCCTGTTCAGGCTGGCTGAACCTGACATTGCCATGCCTTGGTTGTAAATCGAGCCGGGCTGGGTGTTTATTGTCAATTTCAAAGAGTGAAGTTTCAAAAGAGAAGCTAATAAGCCATGGAGCCAACTCACCAATTTGGTCTGTTTATACTCTTATAGCTATGTATAAATCAGTTTTGCCAGGATACTATTGACAGCTTCCCCTAATTCACAACTATAATACAAATTAAGCCTAAACAAGAAAATTATTGCTTAGTTACACTTTTTATTTAATACTTACTAATTCACAAAAAGGAAACCTACATTATATTAGTCAGTAAATAATCTAATAACAATAAATTAAATTTGGGATGATTATGTTGTAAAATAATAATGAATTTATACATTACACGATTTTAAACACCTAAATCATTTGGATAGTTAATCCATGAGTAGATGAAATTAGTGTTTTATTTCTACTTTTTTTTTTCTCAGGGACCATGATAGATATGCTTTTTCTTTTTCTCTCTTTTTCACCAGTTATTTTTACTGTTTTTGGTGCACTAAATATTTTGAATTGCACTATTTAATATTTTGATAGATTGTTAAAAAACTTATTGCATTTATGTGGACATCATGGTTTGGCCTTTGGTTGAAAGTTGAAACTGATTTTGAGTTACATGGCCAAAGGATTGTGTTGGACAAAGGTATGTGTCAAACACATGTATGCTATCTATTTGACAAAGTTTTCAATTAATTTCAAGGATTTAAGTGTCATGGACATAAAATTTCAAAGTGTCCTACAAGTGCACAAATAATATATTTAAATCAAATTATGCAGATGTCATTAGGGTGAGCTTGACCCCATGTTCAACAGCAAAAGCTTCATCTCTAGGACTTTCATATTGCAAAGAAACTCTTCATATTTGCAAATATCGATATGTTCTTTAACTCTTTGACACTTTCACACCTATTAGCAAGTGTTTTCACATTATATAAAGTTTCTTAGGTTAAAAATTTCTTGAAACATATTACTGGTTCCAATTAGTTACAAAGTGTTTCTTTTCTAATAAATTTTGTTTATTGAACCCTTAGTTTTAAAAATAGATGTCTTCTTTTTTTGGGAGGGTGCAATCTCTCATTCTGGAATTAATTTTTTTTTTCCTTCTTGTTTTTTTCTTAGAAGAAGACCGCTATTTACAGTTGACAAAAGCGATATCAGCTGAGAAGGTATGCATACCTTCTGTGGTTTTATTTTTCTTTTTTGTTTAGATAGGCGTATTTTTTGTTTTGAGTGCTTATCCATCTGGTAATAAGTGTGTTTTTAAGCTGGCTTATATTGCTATCTTTGTGCTTGAGTACAATTGGAAGTAAGATAGTATTGCATCTAATTTAGCAGATATTCAGAGAATAGTAATATGAATTGTATGTCTCATATGTCTTTATGTTTTTTATTAATACTTTAAAGTTCACCACTATGCAGTTACAATAATGAGATTATTCTAAGTTATTTTTTCTATTTATCAGGAAAAGAATGAAAATATTCAGAGCCAACTGGAGCTAAATTCAAAGAGGCACAAAGCAGATGTTTCTAATCCTTCAATGACAAATTGCCAAAATTCTCCAGGTGCATGTCATATTTCATTCTGCAGGAAGCTTTTTTGTTATGTTTTCCAAGTCCATGTATTAACATAGCCATCTTCAGTTTAGTAGTGAACTAATTACAATATGATTTAGTTTGTTTTTGAGAATGTTGAGATTATTTTCCAATTTAAATGGTAGGTTGTGTATCCAAAAAAATACAAAAGAAAAAAAAAAGATAGTAGGTTTGCAATCAAATTTGCTTCCAAATTTGAAGGAAGCTTCGCAGACTGTGGGGCAGATATAGATAAATCCAATAATTATTGACACTTTGTCAAAGAGATGTAATTGTGGACTACAAAATTAGTAAGATCTGATTAATAAGCCTTTGTTATCATAGCAAAGTATTGATTAGGAATCGATGAAGTATTGATTGTTGAAAGGGAGGAGGGGAGAGTGGGCACCTCTCACTTCCTTTCTGTTAATGATCCTTTCTATGTTCCACATCTTTGCAAGTTTGTCCTTCTCTCCCAGAATCTGTATGCTAAAATTATAGATATAGTTTGGCTTTCTTAGTTTCTATATTTGTTTTTGTATTCTGATGCTTGAGCTGTTATGAAATTGGTTTCATGAGTAAGTGTTGTTTTCCCCTTTTTCCTGTCTTTGAAATTGGTTTCATGAGTAACTGTTTTTTCCCCTTTTTCCTGTCTTTCTTTCAACCGGATGCCAGACAAACAGGTAGCTCGCGATCCTGGCCCAACAAAAGTGACTAAACGAGTAGCACCAGTGTATCGCAGGTACTTTTCAGCATTTTTATTAGGATATGCAAGACCATTGAGTTGTGGATACCAATGACATAAACATCTGGTGTGGACAGGGCAAAAGTGAGGGGTGTCATTTTGCAGGATAGTGAAAATGACAAAGATGGCTAGAAGACAAGACAGTCGTAAATGGTATATCATATAGCAATTGTTACAATCTCACTAACATAGCCTTTTTTATTGACTATTCCCAGGTAAAGTTTTCACATATAAGGGAAAGGAAGAAGTTTTTAATTTATAGGGTTCTTTTACTGCATTGCTAGCTTCCTGCTGTATATTGTGTAGGAAATGTAAATCTCAGTTATGTTACCGTAAAACTTGTGCTCTTGGAAAATGTAGATACTCTGCTTCATTTCATGCACAGGCTTGTATATATTATATTTTAATTCTGTGATCAGGTGTTGTTTACTTAAACATGCTATTTCTGGTGCAACTTGCCATTAAAGCTCCATATATTTTCAGGAAGTTATGCATATCTGACTCATTAAAGATTTCAACTTTACCACAGGAAATTTGGAAGTAGCATAAGCAGTAAAAATAAGTCAAAAACATTATTATTGTTTTTCTAAGATATGATTTTGGGTCATACACCAGGGATAGTCCTCTCCTATTTGGCAAATTTCTCCTTTCAATCTCAAAATTCGAACCTGAGGTCTTCAACTTGGAGTCTCAAATACTGAGTTCTGAAGGATGGGGTGTTCCCTTGAGGCTAATGACATTCTATATAGGAGACATTTCCCTTCTTGTTAGGACTGTTCTGTTATCTCTACTGCTAGTAATAGCAGATTTGCCACAGCTTTATTCTCTTTCAGATAATGAATTCTTCCTGTCTCTTGGCTTTGCTTTTCTTGACAGGGAAGAATAGCCAGCAAGCCGGCAAAAAAGTCTTGTTAGCATGCCTGCATGATGATTATCAATTGTTCAAAATGCAGTTAGTACAACGAGCCAGTTATTGGTCTTGTAATCAATATGAACCCGGATGAATCTACTGAATTCTTGATCAGATATGAAGCCTAAGATTTTATTTTATTTTATTTTTTTGTCAAGGCATGTTAGCCTCTGATTATTTGGAATAATTCATGCCGTTATCAGCTATACTTGCCATTGGTAGTGAGTGAATGCCCTAACGTTGTTTTCAGAAGATAAAACTAGAAACAGAAAAAGAAATACCTGCTTGTACTGCTGTTGCTGCTATCAATGCTGCTGTTGCTGCTGTTTTCATCTCTGTTTTTATGATGCCTTCTGATGAAAATCCTTTTAATCCACCATTGCTTTTCGACAGGCCTCCCAGATCCCTCAGACGATGGACTTGGGGAAACCTTGGAGCTATTTTCAGCCTTTGATTTCTTCTTGAAACTTAGAGAACTTGGGAAAAACATCTTTATTAAGAAACTATCAACCTCCATACTTCCACTTCGGCTTATTGGACCTGCCTTTCTTTTCTTCCCTTTCTTCTTCTTCTGTTTCTTCGTCTGAGCTTCTGTTTCAGAATAAAAGCTTTCATCTTCAGAAACAGCTTTCCCTTTGACCTCCTCTGATGCATGTTGTTCATCAACGATATCTTTCAAAGAAAGCTCGTAGCTAGACTCGGGCATGTTACGAATCATCTCCATGAGCTCTTTCCTACCTTCTTCGATTGCTTGTGTTCGTGTTCTAGGGGAAAGATTACTGTAAAAATAGTTGTTTGGAAGCAGAGGAGAAGCATCTGTCACCTTATTGGCTCTCCGTAACGGCAAAGAGCAATCGCCAAACCTTTCCTCCACACATGCTTGAACTGGAAACTCAATTTCACAGGCATCTACGCTGTTCAAGGTATCATAATACCAGGTTTTACGTGCACTCCAGAAATCAAATTCAATATCCCCCGTTCCATCACGATTGCTATGTATCTGATAGGCAGGATTGAAGGAAGAAATCTGGTTTTTGGCAACTTCACGCCGGTGATGAAGCATGATTCTGCTAAGGACCAAGTGAAGTTGGAGTTGGGGTGTGGGAGGATAGAGATATGAGAAATTGTTTCAAAGGGAAAGCATGATTCTCTTCAGTCATTTTCCCTATAAAAGGTAGAGGGGGCCTAAAGTCATTGCCGTCCCAGATGGGATATTCGGAAGCTGTAAAATTTCCAATTTTTCTCCATGTGTCATCCTGCAATCTCTCTCTTTCTCTCTCTCCACCTTCTAGAAAAAATTCGACATTTTGACTCTTCTGCTTTGGTTTGTGGTCATGGAAATTGACTACCCTCTACACCGCAGGGCTCAAGGAAGGCATGCAATGCAATGGCTTCCGAAATTGTCAATAAGGACACGCTTGAGCAAGATCTAGTCCTAACGAATTCATGGTTAAAACATGAGCAATCAAGTTTTGGCTTTCAATCTTGCAAAGCACGCATGTCAGCTGGCAATCAACATCTACTCCTCTGTCTTGTTGCGGCAAAAAGGGTAAACTAAGTAGAATCCTATTCGCCTCACATTTATAGACAACGTGTGCTCTAATACCATTTATATTATACTATATCATATTAATAATATTATATTATATCATATTAATGATATGATTATGTTATGATAAATACAAAATTTTAATTAATTAATAATATTATTTTTAATTGAGTAAAAAGTTAATAAACATTTTAGCATGAGATTAAATTAAACGTGATTTGCACTTGAATATTTAATTTATTAAATAAAATTCGAATTCTCTTCTTTTAATTTTAAAAAAATTATTACGTGGCTCATCGAGATTAATTCATTTGAATAAAAATAGACTTTCTAATGCAAAAAAACTTATTATTAATTTAATGGTGTGTCTTTTTGCAATTGGGAAGTAGTTTTTTGGGATTAAGGGAGTGCTTTCTTCTAACAATGGGTTTTCAATTTAACTTGTGTCACACGCATGATTGGATGCATGCTTTGGGAGCTCTGAATCGTTTTCCCTTTTATTTTTTTTTTATTTCTTTGATTTGGAAATTTGTATTACATCTTTGGCTTCTTTGCTATATTTTAGGGTCAAATTCTTTTGTAAACTAGTGGCATCCAGATAGTGATGTTATTGACCAAAGGAAAGTGTTTACTCTATTCCCCCCGTGTGGAAAACGTTCATATTCAAAGTCAGAGAAATGTGAGTGCACACCTAATCTATAATTACTTATTGCACTTAAAAAAAAATTTAGGGTGTATTTACTATTCTGTTCATGAAAATTTTGAATCAAATTAAGTTTATCAGAGAAATCTTTAGACATATAAAGATGAATATTAATTAAAATATATTTTTTATACAATTATAATAGTTATGTCCATGTCTCATAATTTTCATTTCAATAAAAGATGAGATGACTTTTGAACTTATAAGTAATGTGGATTTATGATATCAAAATTTACCTAACTCTTTAAAGACCTTTCATTCGAAATTTAAAATCAAGGTAGGTCTAGATAAAGATGGATCTCTCTCCTCTATAAATGAAAGAGTCACTACAATGAGAGCTTTGTATAATTGCATGAAATAAAACATTTTAGCATGAGTTTTAAAATTTTTTTTACTGAGTTATAATAAAAAAAAGAATATAATTGATTAAGTACGATTGGTTTAATTTAATACATAGAATTAGAGAGATAAAGAGCGTTTAATGCTATATTTTGTTTTTTGTGATGTTCATGGAAACAAAGGCTCAGAGTCAAATATTGTGCTAGCTAATGTACGGAGGATATGGCTTTTTCTCTTGTAGGTAGAACCAGACCCTCCCCTTTGAACAACGAAGAGGTACCCACCTCAAAAAGCCAAAGAAAATTGGAAACAATAAAGGGGCTGAGCTAGGCTATGACAGACCATCGTCACTACCTCAACAAGTTCAGAATTGGACTAACATTTGCAAAGCCAAATCAAATATATACGTTAAAAGAAGATACCAACTCAAAAGGGATTTTTGATTAGATCACTACGAATACTTGCATATCTTTAAAATTTTGTTGTATTTATTAGTATTATTTTTGGTTATCCCAACTATATATATCCTACGTAATTTGACAACAATTTATTGGTCCAACTTGAATTATCTCCTTTATAGACTCATTGGTATATCCATGAAATGATAGCCTCATCTTGGAACCATGCAATAAACTATTAGGTTTGATAAATAGTTGGGACAATAATAGTGGATTGCATTAATTTGTACTATTCAATTTTTTTTATTATAAAAGAATTCATTGACAGCAAAATTTTTAAATTTCATAAATAAATTTATAAAATTAATGCATATTTATTTTCAAATTTCAATTGAATAGAAGTTGTATTAAAGGTTTAAAAATTATTGGCTCAATTTTGTTTATAGATATTACCTTTTAGTTAATTTTTATATTAATGTTGTTAATATACTAATTGAAAATCTTATTGATTTTTACATTTTGTTCAAAATACTTCAACAATTCTTGTACTTATATATTTTGTTCATTTTAATCCTTTTACTCAAAATCGTAATAAGTTAATTCTTAAATTTTAAAAGTTACTTCAATTTAGTCCCTATAACATTTTTTTTTATTGAAATTACCTTTCATAGAGTTGATGTCATTGTTAACGTGACGTTGACATAGCAATACTTGCTGATGTGGCATGTAAGGCACCATGTGTCACACTTGCCTTCAACACCCATCTATGTCTTTAGTCTCTTAATTTTAAAAATTATTTTAATTTAATCTCTCTAATATTTTTCTTTTGAAATTACCTTTTACAGAGTTGATATATTGTTAATATGATGTTGATATGGCAATGTTTGCTGATGTGGCATGTGAGGTGGATCAAAAATGTTGACGTGGTAGTGCCATAAGGAGGGCACCACGTAACACACTTGCCTTTAGCACCCATACATGTCAAGCCACATAGCATGTTTATGTCTCTTTCTTGTTTTCTATAAAGATATTATATGCTTATTGAGTTTCCAACTCAAGACCTCATGTAAGCATAGCACCCATCCATGTCAAGCTACATGGCATGTTTGTGTCTCTTTCTTATTTTTTATAAAAATATTATATGCTTACTATATTTCGAATTTAAAACCTCATGTAAGCATAACAAATTTCTTATCACCTACTCTAGGCCCTTGCTTTTAATTACATATTGCTTTTGTTTCTTTTTTTCCTTTTTATCCTCTTTTTCATTTTTTTTTCCTCCCTTCTCTCACCTTTTCTTTTAAGGATTGGTCGCAAGTCATCAAATGTGGTCGTCAATTGTTGGTCAACGTTCATCGATCATGATCATGGCATGCCATGTCCGATGATCGTCAACCGATGTCTGGTGACTAACAATCAACTGCCGACGATGGCGTTCGATGACTTGCTATCTATATGAGAAGGTGAGAAGAGAGAAAAAAAAAAGAAAAAGAGGAAAGAAAAGAAGAAAAGAAACAAAAGCAATATATAAATAAGGGTAAAATATCTGAACTTTTAAGTTTTGATCGAAATTATACAGAAGTTTATTAGTTTTCGAAATGGACACTCTGTTCTAAAAAAAATTTTTCACTTGACATGTAGATCTAGACGTTAGTCAACTGTTAATATTTCTATCAACTTGCTAACGTAATAAAGGGAAAAAAGATAAATTTACCCTTGATTAATTTTTATAATTACTATTATATAATTTTATTATTTTTTAAATTATTTTCAAAAAAGAGCTCCCCATCAGGGAGCAACGAAGCTCCTTTGAGGAGCCCCGATCGGTGCTCTTTTGTTTTATTTTATTTTTTTAAAAAATAATTTTTTAAATTAATAAAAATAAAAAAATTATTTTAATCTTTTTATAACTTTTATCAACAATAATTGTGATTTTGGGGTAAAGTGTCTATTTTAAAAATTAATAGACTTCCGTGTAATTTTGATAAAAATTTAAAAAATTAAGGTATTTTACTCTATAAAAGGTAAAGTTTTAGAGTATGTGATAAAGAAGTTTGTTGTATTTGCATGAAGTTATAATTTAAGAGAAAATAAAAAAGAGACACATATGGCTCTCTGGTCATGTCAAAGTGAGTATTTCCAATCCACCTCACACGTCACATTAGCAAGTAGTGCCATGTCAGTGTTACGTCAATAATGATATCATCTCAGATCATTTCGAAAGAAAAATGTTAGAGAGATTAAATTAAAATAATTTTCATAATTAAAGAATTAAATTATTATGATTTTTAATAAAAGAATTAAAATGAAGAAAATGCATTAGGACAGGGATTGCTAAGCTATTTTGATCTTTACATTTTGCTTATATATTTTATGAATCCTTTTTAATCTAAAAATTAACCAATTAATTCTTTTCCAAATAATCCATATAACATTTTCTCTAACAAAACTAATAAATAAAATTACCCTTCAAAAAAAAAAAGCCCCTAAGTAATGGGCAATTATTAGAAAACGCGGGAGGCAACGGTTATTTAAAATTTGTTGTAAAGAGCTACTGCCAAAGATGGTAACGTTAGAAAATCATAATTACATTTGAACAAAATGGTAATGAAGATGCACAGAAAACCAAAAAAAAAAACCCAACCCGATAGCCTCTTTTCTTTAGAATTAACTGAATGGCAAAACGTGGATTTCCTGCAACAAATTGTGGGTTATCTCTCTCTCTCTCTCTCTCATTGCCTGATTCCTCTGCTTCTGGTAACCTTGGATTACTCATACGTCCAATCTAAGTTTGTTCTCGATATCAGCAAATTCCATTTTGCTTCAGAGACTTTTATCCTCAATTGGCTCATTGATGTCTATGGGAAATGTGGCTCCTAGAAGGTATTTGATAATATGCCCCAGGGAATTTTTTTTTCTTTGAACTCGATCATGGCTACGTAACTCAAATGGGTTTCATTATGAAGGTATGTGGACTTTGGGTCGTTACCTGAGCATGATTGGTGCTCACGGAATTCATAAATATCAGGGTTTGCTTTGCTCCGGAAGATAGATTCAAAAGAAGCTCTTTGTTATTTCGTGGGGATGCATAGAGAGGGTTTTCTGCTTAATAAATGCTCATTAGGTAGTGGTAGTGCATATGGGCGGGATTAAAGGACGTGAAAATGTGTGCTCAAAACCATGATTTGATATTGAAAACTGGATATTTGTTTGATGTTTATATGGGGTCTGCTCTTGACATGTAGGCAAAGTTGCTGAGTGGGGAACATGGGACAGCAAAGGATCATTGCACACGATATTTTAATGGGTGAACGTGATGTTTATACTGGGTCTCCTGTATCAGTAGGGAACATGGTTTGGTACCGTGAGGATCATTATAGTTGCA